ACAAATAATCTAAAAGAAACTGCCGAAGCAGCCCAACAATAACAAAAAAAAAAAAAAAAAAAAAAAAAAAAAAAAAAAAAAAAAAAAAAAAAAAAAAAAAAAAAAAAACAAAAAAAGTTAAAAAAAACAACAAGGTTTCTTAATTTTGTATTTTGTATGTCTTTATAGTGATCATTGTGCCTGTTATCTCACTACCACCTTCCGGGTTTGTGATTTCCACTAATTTGTTGCGGGTTTGGTAGTATTGTATCCATGACAGATTCCACTAGTGTGTCCTCTTCGTCTCAAACACCAAAAAGTGAGAGTCTCATTCTACCTACTACCATGACTGAGAACCCCAACCCTAGCCCCCATACAGTGTCCTCTACAACGTTATGACACCCCCATACAGTGTCCTCTACAACGTTATGACACCCCCATACAGTGTCCTCTACAACGTTATGACACCCCCATACAGTGTCCTCTACAACGTTATGACACCCCCATACAGTGTCCTCTACAACGTTATGACACCCCCATACAGTGTCCTCTACAACGTTATGACACCCCCATACAGTGTCCTCTACAACGTTATGACACCCCCATACAGTGTCCTCTACAACGTTATGACACCCCCATACAGTGTCCTCTACAACGTTATGACACCCCCATACAGTGTCCTCTACAACGTTATGACACCCCCATACAGTGTCCTCTACAACGTTATGACACCCCCATACAGTGTCCTCTACAACGTTATGACACCCCCATACAGTGTCCTCTACAACGTTATGACACCCCCATACAGTGTCCTCTACAACGTTATGACACCCCCATACAGTGTCCTCTACAACGTTATGACACCCCCATACAGTGTCCTCTACAACGTTATGACACCCCCATACAGTGTCCTCTACAACGTTATGACACCCCCATACAGTGTCCTCTACAACGTTATGACACCCCCATACAGTGTCCTCTACAACGTTATGACACCCCCATACAGTGTCCTCTACAACGTTATGACACCACCATACAGTGTCTTTACCAATGGTCTGACACGACCATACAGTGTCTCCTATCCTTTTTTTTTTTATGTATTTTCTTGTTTTGTTCCTCTCTTCAAACTCAAGTTGGTTAGTTTCTATCCTCCTTGAGTTTGCGGGGGGCTGTTAGAATTTACCATCACCTACCACCACTACCACCTCACCTACTCCACTAAACCTAACCCACTACACCACTATCACCATCCACTACACACCATCCACTACACCTACATCTATATAAGGAACCATTTGTAATAGACAGAATGTAATCAATCCATCAATCAATAATACAATATTTTTAACTCATTTAGGCATCATTTGGTGGATTGGGGAGGATTTGTCAATCCAAAGTGGCAGGGGGTTTAGTGGTGCAGAGTTTGGTGACTTTTAATAGGGCTTTGTTGGGTAAATGGTTGTGCCAGTTTGCTTGGGAGCCGGAACGGGTGTGGAGACAGGTGGTGGCTGTGAAATATGGGTTAGGTAGAGGGGATTGGGAGACTGGGGAGGTGACTGGCTCTCATGGGTGTGGGTTATGGAAAGGTATTTGGTTGGGGAGAGTGGAGTTTTGGGATCGGGTGGGGTTCCGGGTAGGAGATGGGTTGAGGGTGCATTTTTGGAAGGATTGGTGGTATGGGGATGTTTTGATGAAAGATCGCTTCCCTTTGATCGTTAGTATTGTGATGGATCGGGAGGCTATGGTGGCATCTTATTTGGGGGGTGGGGATGTGGTGGTTTGGGATATTAGGTTACGACTGCAGGTTCAGGATTGGGAGGTTACTCAGTTGATGGAGTTATGCGGTCACTTGTATGGGTTGGGGGTGGTTGGGGTGGGGGAGGATGCCTTGGTGTGGAATGTGGTGGACGCTAAGGGCCGTTTTTTTGTTTCATCATTAATTTCTATTGGAGTATAGTGGGGGAGGTGAGAAGGGATTTTCCTTGGAAGAGTATTTGGGTTCCGGGGGTTCCATCTAAAGTGGCCTTCTTTATGTGGGCGGCAACTTTGGGTCGGAATCTCACACTTGATAATTTGATGCGACGTGGTCATATTTTAGTCAATTGGTATTGTAGGTGTTGTGAAGATGCGGAATCCGTAGACCATTTGTTTTTGCATTGTTGTGTGGCTTTTTGTTTGTGGGGATCTATATGTTCTCTTTTCGGGATTGTTTGGGTACAACCGCGAGGGGTGTTGGACATGTTGTGGAGTTGGTGTGGGGTTCGGGTTGGTCGTCGAAGGCGGCATGTGTGGGCTTTGGCACCGTTGTGTTTGATGTGGTTAGTGTGGTTGGAGGGGAATAGACGACGTTTCAAGGGGTGTCTCATTATGTGTCTTGGCTTTAGGGTCGTTTACTTACAGTTTTGTATAGTTGGGTTGAACGGAAAGTTGATCTAGATATGTTTGCTTTTTTAGATTTTTTGGATGATGTGATTGGGTAGGAGTTGGTTTTTCTCTTTTGGGTTTTCTGTATTCATTGCATCATCTTGATGCTTTTTTAATAAAATTTGTTCACTTATTTATCCACAAAAAAAAAAAAAAATGTGTAACATTTAGGCATTGATCAAAGAGTAGGTTCACTAACACTTCTATGAAAACCATTTTCCAAAAAATACCTGTCAATCTTGCTATACCATGCTCTTGGTGCTTGCTTGAGCCCATAAAGTGCCTTCTTCAGTGACTTTATGTTCCATCCCTTCAATCACAAAGCCTTTGGGTTGTTCAACATATACTTCCTCCTCAAGCTCTCTATTAAGAAGCGCAGACTTGATATCTGGCTATTGTGCATATTCCTTTGCAAATAACCGAGCTGTGTGCCTTTAGAGAGTTCCATCAGAATTAAACGTGGACTTGTAAATCCATTTAAGTCCAATAGCTTCTTTACTGGGAGGTAGCTTTACCATGCTCCATGTCTTATTCTTCTCTATGGCCTTTATTTCTTCATTCAATGCATCACACCATTCCTTCTTTGTTACTGCATCTTCAAAATAAGTAGGCTCCATGGCAAAGCAAGCAAATTCACATAAATCATATATATCAGCAAGACTTCTGACTTTCCTGGGAGTAGAATCGTAAGAACAATCACGTAGATGACTAGAACTTATTGAAGGAATCCCAGGGGCAGGTTGTTCGCGTGGGATAACTTCATTCTCATCCCATCTCCAAGCTGCATTCTCATTAAATATTACATCTCGACTTATGATCAATTTTTTTGGCAATAGGATCATAAAGTTGATAGCTTTTTGTCTCCTCACTATAGCCTAAGAAAATGCATTTTGTACTTTTATCATCTAACTTTTGTCTTTGTTTAGATGCTACAAATGCATAGGCTATACACCCAAATATCTTTAAATGACTTGCATTGGGTTTTCTCCCGCTCCAAGCTTCATACGGAGTCTCGCCTCTAATAGCTCTTGTTGGAAAGCGATAAATCAAATATACTGCTGTCAAAACTGCTTCAGCCCAATAGTAATTTGGCGTCCCTTTATCCTTCAACATGCTCCTTGCTGCTTCAACAATAGTACGATTCCTACGCTCCGCAACACCATTTTGTTGTGGGGTGTAACTTGCTGTCAGTTGTCTATGAATGCCCATGCTACTGCAAAACATCCTGAACTCATTGGAAGTAAACTCACCACCAGTTAGTAAGTAATGTGACAATAGTGCAACTAGATTGATTTTCAACAATTAATTTAAAAATTGTTTGAAAATTGAGAGAGCCTCTGACTTTTCTTTCATATATGTCAGCATGCACAAGCAACAATGGCTTATTTGCTCGCCAAGATTTTCCCTTTGGGAATTTTTCCCTATGGTGTTTGCGTAGAACACAAGCTTCACACACATAGGCATCATTTTTCACCGATGAAAAACCAGCTGCCATATCCAATTTATGCAACAAATGCAACCCACCTAAATGCAAATGACCATATTGCCTACGCCACAATATGGACTCTTCACTAGATGCACAAAATGCATTGCATGAAAGGTTTGAGAACACAATAGGAAACATCTTATTTGCAGTCATTTTGATGCTCACAACCAGATTCTTGCTTTGCTTATCATAAAGCACACATTCCTCATCGTCAAAAACAACATAGTAACCCTTCTTTAATAGTCGACTCAAACTCAATAAATTCTGGACCAAACCAGGCACATACATGACATCATTATTGAACTTTCTTCCAATCATGGTTGCTACTCCAATAGTTCCAATTCTTTGTACCTGAACTTCACTATTAAATTGGATTACATTTTTGGGTTAGGTTTCTCTCAAGTTCAAATCTAAACTTGAGGGGGCCATAGAGCCCTCCATGAGTCCCATTTTGATGATCCGAATTGTTTATTTGATAGGCCCTCATGTATATTATCTATGAAAAAAATTAGGTTTATTCAGTAATCATAACTTTTTTATTTTATCATGTTTTTTTTTTCCCAAAATAATAGATGATCTATTTTTAAAATTATACTAGTCTTTCATTTTTTTCAAAGACAAACTCGATAAAATGAAAAGATTACGATTATCGGATCGACTTAATCTTATTTTTTTTATAAATGATATACATTGAGGGAACTATAAAATAAACGGTTCAGATCATCGAAACAAGACTCATGATAGACACCAAGGGACCCTCAAGATCTCTCAAGAAGTCCAACCTTATTCGTTATTCCTAATAGGTAATAATTTGCCAAAGGGCATTAGGAATTCATCTCTTGAAATTTTAGCTGTATTTTCTGGAAACATTCAAATGGAGTAGAGGTTGTCGAGATGTTGTGGGAGCAGTAAGGTTGCCGAGAAGCGTCAATGAGAATTTGGAACCTGAGTAGATATGAAGAACACAATATGTATTTGTATAGCATTAATTTATTTAATATGCTAATGCTATTTATGAAAACCTCCCAAGATGGTGCCTTCCTATCTTTTTCTTCTTTGTTACATATGTCCGCCTGTATCTAAATTAAATAGCTTCTTCTGCCCATTGCAGTTGGCCTTGTACACGATCCGCACATGGTCATTAACCGTGTTGGAGAATGTCAACTCCCTAGTTGGAAAATCAGCTGCACCAAAATATTTGCAGAAGCTTACATACCTCTGTTGGAACCACCACAAGGCCATAAGGCACATTGACACAGTCCGTGCTTACACGTTTGGGTCCCACTATTTCGTTGAGGTTGACATCGTCCTCCCAGCAAGCATGCCCTTGCAAGAGGCCCATGATATCGGAGAGGCTTTGCAAGAGAAACTCGAACTCCTTCCAGAGATTGAGCGTGCTTTTGTTCATCTTGATTATGAGTACACTCATAAACCTGAGCATGCACAAGCACATCTGTAGTGCTAATAAAATATGAAACTTTTCCAATAACTATTGTAAGTTGGAGAATTCTATTATACACAAACCATATCATATGCACATTTAGTTACATTATTTTTTTTTTTTAATTATGACTAATATTCTTTTTTAGTTACAACATTATTTTGAAAATTTGGTTATGATTTTGTTTGTCTTTTTTAGTTATGATCACAAAGCATGAAATTATGTTATTTTCTTCTATAAGGGGAACTTACTGATAAGTCCCATGTACTACGTTCAAAACCCAGCTAATCCCAAAATAAAATACTTGCACCAATTAGTCCAATACATTTTTAATTGTTACCAAAAAATCTTTTTTTTTTCTTTTTAATTTACAGACACTGTTCACATCTTACTACCGTCGGACTTTCGTCAAACGGTCGCTGGAGACTCGTCGGAATGTTCAACATCGCTGGAGACTCGTCGGAATGTTTAAAACATGTTATGAAACTGTAAAATTTTACAGTTCTAAAAAATGTTATAAAACTGTAAAATTTTACAGTTTTAAACCATGATTCATTCCAGCACCAAAAAAAAAATTTGAAACTGCAAAATTTTACAGTTTTCACCGCCTGTAACTAAAACTTGAAAATTACTTGTTCAGAATTCGAAAATTTTCTCATTACAAATCTGTGTGATATCTATACAAATCTGAGTCATTACAGATCTGTTTCAATGATATTATAGATCTATTTCATCATCAACAACAACAACCATAGATCAACAACTATCCCAAAAAAAATCTGTAAATAGAGAGAGAAAGAGAGAGAAATTGACAAAGATATATACACAAATCTGTTCAATCTAAGCACAGATCTGAGGATGAGCGTCTTCTTGTTCTTGTTCTTCATCATCTTCTTGTTCTTGTTCTTCATCGCCTTCTTGTTTGACTTTAGGACTGAGATTAGGATTAGAGGAGGAGGCGTAAAGAGGGAAGCAAAAAGCAGAGAGAGAGGGGAAAAGACTTTTAGGTGTACTCAAAAAGTTATGGGATTAAATGGTGTCCACATATTCCACATGGGACCTATGTGTAATTTCTCCCTTCTATAATTATAAGATGCATATGGTACACACCTCTAGTCTTTTTCGTGGTAAGTTTTATTCCCATCTTTTAGTTTTGGCTCCTACAATTGTTTTAGACTAGCCATACTTGAGCAAAACCTAAGGTTTCAGAGAATTGCTAATCCAGATGCTATCCTAATGCTATGTCACTATTGATGTTCTTTCTCGTTTTGTAGTTTTAGCTCCCAATCTTGTCAGACATTTGGTTGAAAACCGCTAAAATATTGGTAACGGATTGAAATTTCTCAATCTGCCAAAGTGGTTTGGTTGATGATTTTCCCTTAAAATTACCGACCTGCGCAGACCTTTGGTTAGCCCTATCCAAGCTGCCGTAGGGGCCCATGGGTTGACTTTTGGAAATGAGAGATTTATTTATAAATCTCATTTAATAAATTTATAGTATAATAAGTTGATAAATTTTTTTAATATTTTATCCAGTCTCATATATTTAAACTTACATTTTAATAAGTCTTTTTTTCCATATTAAAATTATTATGTGAATTATTTTATCTTTATAGACTTTTATTATATAATATATATATACTAGTGTCCGTACCTGAAAGCACGGTGTAATTAATGATGAGATTAAAATAAAAATAAAAATAAAATTATTAAATTAAAATATAATTTACCAAATTTGTTGCTAAAAATTTGTAGTGAAAATGTAAATACAGACCCGGTTTTGACTTTCAAATGTTTTTTTTATAAAATTACCCATAAAAAAATGCACCCAATAAAAATATAGTAAAAAATGAAAAATGTAGTTTATTGTTAGAATATGTCTCATGTGTTTTGTTACCGAAGTGAGTAAAAAAGTTATGTTAAATAAAAATTCTTTTTTTAGTCTTTAAACAAATCATACACCCTCATTATCCCCTTCTCTCTCTCTCTTTCCTTGTGAGAAGATTACATTTTAATGTAACTCAATTTAAATTTTGAGTTCAAATTTATCTAATCCCAAAAAAATATTTTCCATAAAAACAACATTTTTTACATAACCACTTTTTTTTTTTTTTTTTTAAATGATAGTTACGTTTTTCAATAAATAAACATTTCTAATGATATATATATATATATATATTTTTTAAATGGTAGTTATGTTTTTTTAATAAATTAACATTTCTAATAATGTTACGTTCCTTAGTAAACGGAGATATTTTTTTTTTAAATTTTTTATTTATTTAAATTTGAGGTTCAACTTTGACAATTAATTTTTTTTCTACAAACATTTTTTAACATAAAATTATTATGATTTATGGAGAGATAAAATTATAATTTATGTTATGGTGAGACTATCAAATTCGTAATCATTTTTTCTCAAATTAATTATCTTCTCAAATATAATTATTTTAATCTATTAAAATAATCAAAAATTAAAATACTAATTATGTTTGACTTTATTATTATTATTATTTTAAAGAATACACATATTTCCGATTACACTAATTTTTTCAATTATTTAAGAAGAAAGATAAATTAATCACAATTCTCTATGACTCTTTACATGTGTCCCACTTACTCTTTCTTTTTCTGACTCTCTCTCTACTGTCACCCACTCATTCTCTCTCCCATTCACTCTCTCTACCTATTATCTCTACTTTCCTCTTTTCCCTCTACCTATTATCTCTCTCTAATGTCTCTAATTATTCTCTCTCCAAACTCTTTTTTTTCCTTTGTTTCATCTTCCTCTTTAATGGTGGGGACAGCCGCGGAACGGACAATGGCGATGAGCGACGATGAGTTCCTTCTTGCGTTCATGCTTTTTCTCTTTTTTTCTTCACTATATTTTCTCTCAAATTTGTGATTTGATTAAATCATAGGAAATCAATACCCATTTCAAAACCATGTCAAAAATCAAAACCCATTTAAAAAATAAAACTCATTTTTGTGAAGATCAAGTATTATTTTAGATCTAAAACCTTTTAAAAAATTAAATCCATTCAAGAAACATAATGTTAAGATTAAATTGGATAAATTACATTTTGAGATCAAGTATTATATACTCATCTATTATTGCAGAACATTTACAGATGATAATATTAAATTTTTTTTAAAAAAAATCGTAAACTAAAAGCAAATTGAACAATTTAATTCCCAATGGAAGCCAAGCATCATATTAAAGAAGTATGATACCTTTAATGGTTTAACTTGGTGCACTGAAATGCTATGAACAACTGCTGATTAAAAAAAAAAAAAAAAGATTTAGCCAATTTGCTTATTTGTATAATCAATTTACTCCCCAAAATTACTATATGTGAGAGAGATATTTCATATTAAAAAAAATTAAAAATAAGACCTGCCAAGTACCCACCCTTGTCCATAATTATATAACTGAATGGACATTTTGCAGAAGGCCTTCCTAACAAGATCTTCACCTCCATCAATTTCTTCCAAACAATCTGCAATTCTTCCTTTGCAAAACCCATCTTCCTGTCAACCCATAACCCACTTCAATTACTTGCTCATCCAAACAGTACTTAGCCTCAGAACAACATAAAAAAATAGTAAAACAAAACAATTAGCAGAACCCATCTCTTATTTTCCTCCATTTTCGCAAGAAAATTAAGGAAAGAAGAAGTTATACTCACAAGCTACCATTGTCGTCTCCAACTTTGCAACCATTACCACCTCTAACTCTCCTGCAATAATGGCAAAGATCCATTTGAGAAAACATCTTAATTTGAAGAAATGAAGAGTGCACATGGAGAGAGAGAGAGAGAGAGAGAGAGAGAGGGCGAGAGAGGAACATATAGGCGAGGACAAATTGTCTAGAAAATAGAATAAGTCCAATCTGAGTTGAAATAGACGCTTTTGAGGGCTTCAAGAAGGGCCATCATCCCAACTGCTTCTTTGCTACAACTATCCATTTGGTTTGCACCTTCAATAAAAAAACGGTTTCGTCATCAGATGAACACACACGTCACACAGCTATTTATCTCTATTCTTGGGACTTTTTATCTCATGTATTTCGAATATGTTGAACCTTGTTGAAGAACAACTTCGGCGAGGAAGGGCGTCAGAGTGGCGACCTGCTGAGGACGAGATCGAGAATGAGATGTGCAAAGAGAGAGAGGGATTGCATTTGTTGTAGTCTCGCGAATGTGGGCCTCTGTGTTGTGGAGGCAGGTCTTCACCAGAGGGGAGAAAAGGGAGAGATAGAGAGAGTCGCTATACTTTCTGGAGAGAGAGAGAGAGAGAGAGAGAGAGAGAGAGAGAGAGAGTAGTGGAATGATGAAATAGGACAGAAGTGGTGAGAGAAGAGAGGAGAGCTGGGTGGGAAACATATTTTGGGCCAAACAAATCTGACCATCAATTTTGATTAGGAATCATCTCAGCCATGGATATAAAATGTATCTCTTAGACATTTTGATATATTATCATTTATCTAGGAGAAAGAATATCAATTCTTAGATATATTTTTTTTGGGTGAATGTTCTTAGATATATTTTATTTGTGGCATACATAAAACATTGTATATGGTATATGAAAGATTATTATTCTTATTATTTTCTTTGCCTTAATGTGAGGGATTCACTTAATTAAGGATCTTTCTTCACCATTATTTTGCATTAAGGTCCTGTCATGGAAAAACATTTGGAAGAAAAAGTTAGTTGTAAATCTGTAGCAAGCCCGCGGGGGACCTCGCCACAGCTCGGACTCGACTTTTGTAGTCACGGTTCTTAATCTGAACCAAAGAGTCCAAATCCGGCAAATTGTTTTGAGAAAACTGATTTTTGAAAGAAGTGCCAAAACATGGACTGCTTTGCCAGATACAGAGTCGCCACCTAAATATTTTATTTTGGGAAATTTAAGAAACCCTGACTCGGTGCCAAAGGCCACGTGTCCGTCATCACCAAAGTTGTCTCGGCTCGGGAACTTGGGTACGATTGGGGAAGGTCACTTCGTGAGCACCCCCGCTCGCCCGATC